TGGATTGGGAACCAGGCGAGTCGAGGCGAGGGACTCAGGGACGGCTGGCACACGCAGCGACCCATGAACTCATCCGCTCCCTGGAGGTTCAGAAAACAACACAGACAGAACCAGACAACAAAGTGACAAAGGAGAACCAAAACTAAAGAAGAGTACCGCATACGGCACATTATGCACCCTTCATTAAACTATTATACAGCAATCTATAGCAATGGCAAAGACATTGTATAATGCTTGACCTTGATCATGGGGTGATAAAAAGTTCACGAGACACTCCATTTAGTGATGATGTTTGGCTTTTGTTATCATCTTGAGTGGATCAGAAGTTATGTGTGGGACAAGAGAAAGTTTACGGACATACGTAGACTATACCAAAACACATCCCTTCAATGGGCGTATAGAAAGAACAGTTTTGTCTATACTCACGTAAGTATCCTCGTCATAAAGCTCCACCACGATGTTGGGTGGGTTGGCCATCGTCGCCTCGGGGTCCCCGAAGATCTCCACCTCGTAGAAGATGAGCGTCTGGTCCCAGGTGGGATTGAGGGTGTTGCGGACGGTCACCGTCCTCTGGGACTGATGGAGGAAGGACACGATGGCGTAGGGGTCTGTATGGACAGACACGTCCGGTTTTCAGTAAAAACTTAAACCTTAAGTTTGGTATCTTGAATGACTCCTGACAAACACGACTTAGACCCAAAAGGAGTCTCAGAATTGTGCTGCGTTCAGTGTACCATGAAAGTGGGACATCAGAACTCTACCTCTTGCTTTACTGTGAAAAAATAAAATCAGTTTAACCCTCCTGCTGCCCTTGGGTCAAACCAACCTCAAAGGTCTTAGTTTGGGTTCATTTTGACCCAAGAGCAGCAGGAGGGACTCAAATAATTGAATTCCAAAGCTTCAGGTTGACGGCAAACATTATACGAAAGGATTTCCCAGCACTACAGCCGTTAGAGAAAAACGTTCCAATTACAAAAAAACCTAAAAGGATTATTTTTGAAGACGTCCCCGTTAGAAAACTTAAATTTACACACAGATTATTGAGATTATAAGATCTTTCAGTTACAGGGACTAGACGGTGTCATCGTGGACTCGTTTTTATGAAAAACTGAACCAAAAAAATAAAAAATAAAATCAGTTTTTTAATACTGCAGCTTGCGCTCATTCTGACTCATTTGACCGAAACAAACATCATTCTACCAGCGTACCACCATGAGCAATTCACAGAACGCTCTTCATTACTGAGCGCTGATGTTTGACGACTGTATCAAAAGAACTAACAGAGAAAAACTGCAGACGAAAAATGATTTAACAAACAAGTTTGAATTTTACTAACAGACTAAAAGGACCGTCGGGTCAGTCTGACGCGCGCAGGTTAAAGTTTTTAGCTTCACGTCCTGAAACGTACCATCCAGGATGAGGTGACGTTTAAAAACAACGACGTGAGAGTCCTCACAAGTGTAGCAATAAACGCTTTTTGATGTGTTTGAACTGTCCTGGCGTCGGCGGCTTGGGAACGCCGCTCCGAGAGGCCTGCAGCTCAGAGCCCCTCTCCTAAACGTTTAACACACACAGTTTCCAGTGTGTGTGTGTGTAATGAGCCCACATGTACGTACAGTTACACAGACTGAGTACTTTGTTGTTTTAGGCTGAGTAACGGGTCCCTGCGGAGCCGTTAGCCGTTAGCATCAGAGTAAACAGAAGCTAAGATGCAGTTTCCCACCAGCCCTCCATTAACTTCACGGCTCACACACACACACTGCGTACGGTGACCCGATCAATTAGCGCCCGCTCCCAAAGGCCCATTAGCTCGTATAAACAGTACCACAAACAGCCCGGGGGGGCGGGTTAGCTAAAGCTGAGTGTTGGTGGGCGTGTGGGGGGAGCAGCAGCCGGAGCTCCTGGGGGAGCGACAAACGTAAATAAACACAAAGAAAACTGGAAAAAAAAAGGTTCAGACAGAGGGAGGTGATGAAAGGGAGAGAAAGGCCTGAAAAGGCCGGCTGTCCGTGAAGGAATGCTTGTCGCCCGCTGCCTCAGCCTCAGCTGATGATATTTAAGACAAGCAAAAAGATGAAGATTAGCTAAAAACATGCTGAAATGTAGCTGAAATGGAAGAACAAGCCTAAATCTGCGGAAGAAAGCACCAATATTTGCTGAATTAGGCTTACATAAGCAGAAATTAGCACAAACAGGAAATTAGCTAAAATAAAAGCTGAAATTAGCACCCAAAAAAAAAAAGGCTGAAAAGTAGCTGAAAAGGCAAAAAGAAGCTTAAACTACCAGAATGGACTGGAAAGAACTGACATGAGCTCAAGAAATGTGGAATTAGATAAAAAAGCTACAATTAGCATCAAAAGAGCTAAATTTTAGCTGAAAGAGCAGAAAAAGATGAAAATAGCAGAAAAAAGCTGAAAGGAGCATAATGAATGAATGAATGAGCTTTATTTTAAAAAAAGGGACGATGTACAACTCAAACATAAATGTCACCATTTGAAGCGCCGTACCAGATTACAGCAAAAGATAATTCGCATCTGCAGTCCCCGACAAGCTGAAATTAGCTAAAAGAAGTTAATTAGGCTGAGCGTAGCAGAAATTAACATAAAAACTTGAATTTATCTGAAAACAGCTGAAAGTAGCTAAACATGCTTAAAA